GGCCGCGGGGGACCGAGCGGTGCCCGTTACTGACAGACTTGTGCTGCCCCCAGCTATGCCCCTTGGTGCCCCGCCTGCCAGAACCTGCAGCCCGAGTGGGAGAAGTTCGCCGAGTGGGGCGAGGACCTGGAAGTGAACATTGCCAAGGTGGATGTCACGGAGCAGCCGGGTGAGAGTCTGGCGGGGGCGGCTGGGCGCTCCGAACGCCCTCCCCGGGGCTTTGGGCTGCCGAGCGCTCGGGGAAGGCGTTCGGTGCAAGCGTATGTGCTTTTAGAAAATACACAGAATCGGTAGGAATAATAAAGGTCTTTTCCTGATCTCTTCTGAAGGCAGATTGCTGTGCGTAGACTAAGCAGTCCAGTCTTTCTTAATAGATGGAGGAAACAAGAAGGTTTCTCTAGAAAGTGGCTTGGGGGATTTCAAGGAGATTTTTGACCTTACTTTTTAAGCGTCATACAGAGCAAAAAAAAAAGTGGTTTCAGCCTCCCCTGTAGCAGTACCTCCCTTTGCTGGCGAAAGGGAGCGCGGGCAGTCAGGTCTCCCTCAGCTGAAGCTCGCTTCTCTGAGTTGCCCTCGTGTCTGTGTGGGATTTATAAAAACGACCTTGTCCGTGCCAGTACTGCTCTGCCAAAGTCACAGAGGAACTTTTGAAACTTGCCTCGCTTGGATTATTTTCTGCAAGCACCGGAGGTTGCAGATCATGTGGGAAAAGAAGAGAGCATCTCTCTCTGGAGAGCTACAGCCAAAATAGTCAAGTAGAACGGTTATCTCTGGACATCTCTTTTTTTCCCCATGGAGAAATTTTCTCGCTCTTTGTCCAGGAGCTCTTCTTTTAGACTGTGTGCAGTACTTTGATATGCACAAGTTTGTGTTTGATCACAATTAAAGATTGCTACCTGGGAGCAGCTGTTTTTATTTCAGTGTATAATAACATTTCTTGCCTTTTCTTATATAAGAGTGCTCTACTATTCTGAAAATAACTGTTTTCTTACAGGATTAAGCGGACGATTTATCATAACAGCTCTTCCTACCATCTATCAGTAAGTATGCAATGGAGCAGGGTTTTTGGAGGAGAGAGGACTTTTTTTTTTCCTTTTTGGGGGGGCAAACAAATGAGATTTACCACTCTCTTTAAGAATGTGAGTTACTTTACACAGAGACAGCCACTGTTTGACCTGCTGTGGCCTTACAGTACTGCCAGTTGTGTCTTTTTCTTTTCCCTTCAGGCCTTATTTATTCTATCTTTTCACGGGTGTTTCTGTTTTGCAATCTTTTCTCTGTAGGTTGATCTTAATACAGTAGTGTGGCAAGTGCGTTAGGAAGATCATTATCTTTTTATGGAATCGTAACCTAAAGCTAGCCAAGATACGCGTGCAGTCAAGATTACTTGTAGTCAAGATTTTTGGAAAACGTTTTAGAGCCAATATCATCTAAAGCAAAGTAAAACTGAAAAAAAAAAAAAAGCAAGGGGATGGGAGGGAAGATGTTAAGTGGAAGCAAATGGTGCGTGCTTGGGCTGTCTAAAATAAAGGACTTTTTTTGTTTTGCAGCTGTAAAGATGGAGAGTTTAGGAGATACCAGGGTGCAAGAACTAAAACTGATTTCATAAATTTCATCAGTGACCAGGAATGGAAATCTATTGAGCCGGTTTCATCATGGTTTGGCCCTTCCTCTTTCCTGTAAGTTTTGGTATGATTTTTATAACAATTTGTTGTCAGACATGCACGCTTTAAGGACGTGCTGGGACAGGTCCTTAGGTGTGCCGCGCCTGGTGCTGCCTCCTTGTTAACAGCTCGTGCGGCAGCTCGGTGCTGGTAAGAAGTATGTGAACGTGATGGGGGGGGGGGTGGTCGTGCCTCCTTCGTCAGCTGTGGCAGGATTGTGTGCACTAGCACAGCAAAGATGTCCCGAGCAAGGTTTGCTTTAAGGCTTCAATAGTTATAGGTGGGTGTGTTGTTTTACTGAACTCTTGTAGGTAACTTACTGGCACTTGAAGCTCTTCTTTTGGTTATACAGCAGAAAGATGTTTTGCCCAGCTAAATTCTAGGAAATTAGCAATAAAAACTGGAAAATAATGTAGCAACATCATTGTAAGATCTGGGCCGGCCATTTAAGAAGACGTATCCGTAGCAAAGTCAAAAGCAGATTGGAAGGGCGAAGGCTGCTTTGTTGAAGGACGAGTGAGGTGGGGAGACTGTAGTCTGAGAAGAAACATGCTCTTTGGAATTCTTTCTAGTTTTGTGGCTTCGAAGTGCTTTTAGTTGTGGCTGCATGTGCTGTGTGGTGGTTTCAGAGTAGTTGGGTAACTGAGTGATTACAGCGTGTTGGGGACGCCATTGGTTGAGGCAAATGAGCCCAGTTGTTTGTGGTTTTTCTTCTGTTAGAGCAATGATGGCTGAAACGCCTCTGTGCTAACTGTACTGTGCTGTAGCAGCGGTCGGTTTATGAAGTGTTATGCTAGACTGAAATTGCACATTTTTTTTTGTGGCTCTTCTAGGAAGCTCAGCATTGTTACTTTGTCTACTCGCAATGCTATCTGAATCTTCAAACTGTGTGGTTGATCTACAAAGTACTGGCCCACACCAAGGAATGTGTGAAACGGGGTACTAATTTTAGGATTAATAAGTTTTCTATTAGAAGCGTAGAGTACCAGCTCCGTTTTTTGTGCGTACTGAAACAGTATGCGGGCTGCTTCTACGGCCCACTCATTAGCAACTTAGGTTGGCTTAATGTTTCAAACTCTCCTTTCCTTTACAGACAGTGAATACTTAAATGCTGAAGTTCCACAATAACAGGGAAATGTCAGAATCGGCAGGATATACGTGGCAGATAGCCTGGTCTTTTTCACTTGCGTGTAAAATACGGCTAGACTTAAGTGTTTGAAGATCTCTCAGTTCTTATACAACCTGATTTTTTTAATAGGTTAATTTCTTGTTTTAATAAAATCTCCAGGTGCCTAATTCTTAATATCTTGAGTAGAGTTCCAGCTGGCTTCTCGTAGGCTGTTGGTCCAAATATAACTTAGAACATAAACAAAAGTAACTGAAATTCTTATGTCAGCAGATCCAAGTCAAGGAAGTTTGTGAATTCGTAGTTGTCCATATGTGGAACATTATACAAGCTGATGTCGGTACCGAAGGTACCTTCATGGAAAATGAGTGCTTATTGAAGTAAAAGACAAAACAGAAGATAAAAATCAAAGTAGTTAGAAGGGAAACCAGACATGAGCAGAAAGTTGTTCAACATGGGACTAAATAATGACCAGTCAGGCAATTCAGAAGATACAGGTTATGTGACTGGCTTAAAGATGTTTTCCGTTACTTTTTTCTGCTTTGTTTCAGGATGAGCAGTATGTCAGCTTTGTTTCAGTTGTCGATGTGGATCAGGGTATGTGCTTAGGTCTCTACTTTATTTTATCTTAACATGGTATTCATGATATTCAGCTATTCTTGAAATGATTCTCTTGTCTTTTATTCCAGCACTGCCATGGTTATTTAACAGAAAATGTTGGAATACCCGTCTGGGGCTCATACGCTGTTTTTGCATTGGCGACTCTATTCTCGGGACTGATACTGGGACTTGTAAGTGAAGCACTTGAAACAGATGGGCTTATGACTACTGTGTATTACACTAAGCTGCCTTTGCTTCAGTCTTTAATAGTAAGACCAGTTGTTCTCTGGGTACCCAGCCCCCTGAGCTGGAAGACAGGGACGGGGAGCAGAATGAAGCCCCCATAATCCAAGGGGAAATGGTTATTGACCTGCTTCACCACATGGACACACACAGGTCTATGGGGCCGGATGGGATCCACCCAAGGGTACTGAGGGAGCTGGCGGAGGTGCTCACCAAGCCACTTTCCATCATTTATCAGCAGTCCTGGCTAACCGGGGAGGTCTCAGCTGACTGGAGGTTAGCAAACGTGATGCCCATCTACAAGAAGGGCCAGAAGGAGGATCCGGGGAACTACAGGCCTGTCAGCCTGACCTCGATGCCAGGGA